TGTTGCCTAGTTTTCACTTACCGCACCCTGAGGTCTTCCTAGACGGTACCTTGAAGGTGCTGGCAAGGACTGTACCTAGACTGTACGTTACGGATTCAATTTTTTTAATGTTTATTAGTCTTATTCAGATTTTCTATTTCTTTTTGCATCATTTTATTACTTATGTTTTTCTAGAAAAAATGCTTTATTTCAATTGCTTATTGCCATAGAGTTGTTTATATTATTCACTATCATTTCCCTTTCTTTTATATTTTATAGTCATCTTTATTTGTGCCTGCTCTTTTTCTTTTCTATTCTTATTTTTATTGATCTTAGAGAGAAAAAGGAAGGGGAAAGAGAGAGAGATAGAGAGATAGAGAGAGAGAGATAGAGAGAGAGAGAAAGAGAGAGAGAGAAAGAGAGAGAGAGAAACATCAGTTTGAGAGGAACATCTATCCGTTGCCTTCCACACACACCCTAACCAGGGATAAAAACTATGACCTTTTGGTACTGGGGCAATGCTCTAACCAGCTTGAGCCACACAGCCAGGGTGCCTCCTCTTTTTCTTATGATCAGTCTTGCTAAAGGTTCATCTCTCTGTTAAAGTTTTAAAAGAACTAGCTTTTTGTATCATTGGTCTTTTTTCCCATAAATTTCTGTGGGGTTTTTGTATTTATTTTTTTTTTTCACTTCTTTGGAGGGCTTACTCTGTTATTGTTATAATAACAATGGTTTGTTGTTGGTTTGTTTGTTTTTTTAAGCCTCTTTAATGGAGTGAAAACTACTTATATTGTCTCTCGCTTTTTCATCATTGTGTTTAGAGCTAACAGTGTCCCTGTAAGAACTCCAGGGTAGCCACATCCCACAGATTTTCATTTGTATACCTTTGTTGTTCAGTTCTAGATAATTTGCATTCCCCTTAGTCCACAAATTAGTTAGGAATGTGCTTTTCAGTTTCCACACATGTCTGTGTTTATTTTGATTTCTCGTTTCTTTGTGGTCAGAGGATGTGGTTTATACAATCTTAATTCCTTGGAAAACCTAAACCATACCTTTCAGAGGTTTCATCCCAGCTGATGAATAAGGCCTCAGAACTCCCACCACCTTTGCCTCAATAAATAAACGTACCAATGAAATTGATGGCCGTTTGGTATCAAGCAGAGATACCAAACAGATGGTTCTGCATTTCCTAAAAATCCAGACGAGTTGAATCTGGGGAAGAAAATACTGAGCATATCTCTGTGTGATCCCGCCTCCCAAACTTGAGTCTGAGAACTAGTGCTCTGCTCCTCCTATGAAGATGAAACCCAACACAACCAGGTCTGAAGGAGAAGGCAGGCATGGCTAGGCGCTCACCTGGGAACTTCTCTGCTATGACAGCTGAAGGGCACCGTGCCTAGGTGTTGGCACTTCACTCTGCACCCGGGCAGGGCTCTCCATCTCTTTCAGGCTCTTCTAGCCTCACATCAAACTGTGGGAAGTGTTAGACCCAAACCTTAATATATCCCACTCCGTGGAAATGGCAGAAACAATACTTTCCAATCACAATACAATAAAACTTGAAATTAACAAAAATCCATCTGGAAAATTTTTAAGTATCCTTTTCATTCTTGAGCCAAAGAGAAAGTGCAAATTGGAAATTTAAGTATCTAGAAAATAACTTCAGTAATATATATGTTAAAATATACCAGGGCCCTGGCTGGGTAGTTCAGCTGGTTAGAGCCTCGTCCCAATGCGCCACGGTTCTGTGTTCGATCCCTGGTCAGAGCACATGCAAGAATCAACTAATGAATGCATAATAAATGGAACAACAAATCAATGTTTTGCTCTTTTCCTCTCTCTATAAAATCAATAAAAATAAAATATAAAGTCTTAATTACATTAATAAATGGCAAAAAGCAAAAGCTGAATTAAAAATTTATTAAATTAGAAAAAATGTAAAGAAAGCAGAAATAATGAATTAACCAATACAAAATAAAAATAAAAGATTATGTTCCTATTAGAAGCAATAATAAAATTTTATACTTTGTTTCATCCCATCTTCTTTATTCCACCTAACTTTAATCAATGTGTGATTAGTAGTTCTGCAAGTGATTTTCTCTATACTTTTGAATATATTTCTGTCTCTGTAATTTGACTTATGAGATGTAAATGTTATCTTTTGACTGTGAATAGTAAAGATAAGAAAATCAACACTCCTTTGCCACATGCCATCTTCTTACATGTTCCCTCCTTGAGTTTTGTTAGTTTTATTACTTTTACTAGCATCTGTATATATAAAATCCTAAGTGACTGGAACGACTGGTCACTATGACATGCACTGAGCATCAGAGGATGGATGCTCAATGTAGGAGCTGCCCCCTAGTGGTCAATGCGCTTTCACAGTCAACCTACTCCCCTCCCCCATTCCCACCTCTCCCCACTCCCCTGGCCGGCCAACCTCCCTCGGTCTCTCCTCCTGGCTGGCAGACCCCAGGCTGGGATGGGGAACTGGGAGTGGGTGGCGGCAGATAAGGCCCTTTCCCAGGGGGGCCAAGAGCCGGCTCCCTCCTCGGGGCTGGTGGCTAACCTCCCATGCCCTGACCCTCTCTCCCTCTCCCCAGCTGGCAGGCCCCGATTGGCCTGCTGCCCACCCGCTGCGTGGCAGCACAGCAGCGAAGGAGGAGGAGAGGGGGAGGCGGGGAACGGCGCAGTGGTGGCAGCATCGGCATCTGACATTCATTCCATTTGTGACTGGCCCCGCAACCATCACCTCCTCTCCAGCCTGACCCTGATCAGCCTGGGGACTTCCACCCGTGCATGAATTTCGTGCACCGGGCCTCTCGTAGTTTATAATATCAACATTCTGAACAATATGCAGTAGTGCTAAAGAGAATGAGCTGTGTGACCTTGAGAAAGTTACTAACATATATTTCTGTTTTCTTATTTTTACCATAGGTATAACAACAGGTTCAATGGACATAATAGGGTTGTTGTTGTGATAATAAAAGAACAGTGCCTGACACATTGTAAGCATCTATTAACTATCAGATATTGTAGGAATAATTATCAAGAAATAGGTTCCCAGAGTTGTTTTAATCTCAGTCCAACATTTCAACTGGCTTTCATGTTTAGTTTCTCCATTCATCTCTTAGTTGCCTGAAATTCATTCTCGAATGGTTCAAGAGATGCTATTGGATGTTATATTTTCTGATCCTTACATGTTTAAAAGCATTTGATGCCTTTTACTTGAGAAAAAAAAAAGTTTGGCTATGTAGTAAAATAACTTGCTATTACTGAGCACTTATTATCTGTTGAAGTCTTATTTTAAACCTTTTCATTAAGTCCTTTGAATTCACAATAATATTTGTTCTGCTGAAGCCGGTTTGGCTCAGTGGATAGAGCGTCAATCTGTGGACTGAAGGTTTCCAGGTACGATTCCGGTCAAGGGCATGTACATTGGCTGCGGGCACATCCCCTGTAGGGGGTGTGCAGGAGGCAGCTGGTCAATGTTTCTCTCTCATCGATGTTTCTAGCTCTCTATCCCTCTACCTTCCTCTCTGTGAAAAATCAATAAAATATATAGAAAAATAATAATAATAATATTTTTTCTGCTTCATGACATCTTCTGGAAATTTTATTTATCTGACACTTGCTTTTCCTATTCCTTTCCTCTTTTATCTTGTATATTTGCTATACAAGCCTCATATTTGTTTTCTTTTGATTGTTACTCACTACTGAGTATTTATAGGAAGCAACTGGGGCAGTGAACTGAGCCTGTAGTGAAGCTGCTGTGCCCACAGTTGTGTGTGTGTGTGTGTGTGTGTGTGTGTGTGTGTGTGTGTGAAGGAGAGACAGAGAGACGCTCACTCAGATTAGTTAAGCTTGCATATCTCCCTGACAATTACAAGCTGCTCATGATATATGTAGTTTTTTCCAGCCAGTTTCATTAACAGACTACCTCCTACATAGATAACATTTTTAAGGATTTTCCTATTCAGCATTGCCTTGCCCTGACACTTCATGATGCCAGACAGAGTCCTTGGATGTTCCCACAGCTGTGTCCCTTACGCCCTCAGTGCAGACCAGGGCGATGGTTCTCCTCAGATGTACCTCCTGTGCAGTGTTTTGCCAGCTTTGTCTGAGAATTGAGGTCAGAGCAGGTATTTAATCTCAGCATGTGTCTGGACTCTGGTGTAATTTTCACTGAATTTGGCAGGCCATCTCATTTATTGTGTCTTAAGGCTACATTGGCACCTTATTTTATCAAAGGTAGAGCTTGCATTTCTTTTTTTAATTTTATTCCTTTTCCCCCCTTTTTGTTGAATTGATTTGGGTGGCACCAGTTAACAAAATTCTACAGGTCTCAGGTGCTCGATTCTAGAACACATCACCTGTACCCTGTACTGTGTGTTCACCACCCCACGTTTATTTCTTATTTTTGGATGATGTCAAGGATGACAGAGGTAACTTTATTTTGTTATTTTAAAACATTTTGGTAATTTAAACTTTATTTTAAAACCATAGAGCTATATTTTTTTAAATATATTTTATTGGTTTTTTTACAGAGAGGAAGGGAGAGGGAAAGAGTTAGAAACATTGATGAGAGAGAAACATCGATCAGCTTCCTCCTGCACACACCCTCCTGGGGATGTGCTAGCAACCAAGGTACATGCCCTTGACTGGAATCTAACATGGGATCCTTGAGTCCGCAGACTGATGCTCTATTCACTGAGCCAAACCAGTTAGGGCACCAGAGAGCTATTTTTAAAAAGAGAGTTCCCCTGTTCTAGGGGAAAGTAGGTACCATACCACTTTAGACCATGTTACCTGGAAAAATAGTTTCAAAATCCTATGCACACCCTAGTTGCAACAATGTCTCTCAGCATCAGAGAGCTAATAAAGAACAGACATGGATTCAAATCCAATACCGAGTTCTTTTTATTGAGGAGCCTTCTCTTAAAGAATATAAATATCTCTTTATGTTGTGTTCTTCTTGTGAACATTTTCCTATTAACTTCTTCTTTATTTCCTGTGTTTAGTGTGACAAGTACAAGAATGGAGTTATTGATGGGCCCGCGTGTAATAGCCTTTGTGTAACAGAAACTCTTTACTTTGGAAAATGCTTATCTACCAAGCCCAGCAATCAGGTACGGACATTATGAATAAACATTACCGATGGCACACTCCAATTTTGCCTGAAACTAAAGGGTTGTTGAAAGAATGACTGAATCAGAGCTTTAGGACATTTTATATATTCCAATTTTCTCTGCTTTGATTCACTCATCCCACAGATGTTTATGAATCCCCTTTTCCCAGTATATTCCAGGCACTGTTTTGGTTACTAGGACTACAACAGTGATTGAGATAGGTAGGATTACTTCCTTTATGGATCTTACATAATCCCAGAGGGGTGGGGAATATAAATAGTTGGTAGATACATAGGTAATTACAGGATGTGTTTTATAAGGATATAGTACACAGGGCTGACTGATGGAGAATGCAGGGGGCAGGGGTATGCTTTAGAGGAGGTGATCAGAGAGACCTTTCTAACACTTGAGCTCAGACCTGAATGAAAAATTAAACCACAGGCATAGGCAAAGGACAGGATGAGCTAAGCCACAAAAGAAGCACTATGACTAACTGATAAACATGCTGAAAAAACTCGCTACCTCACTTACCATCAAAGAAATATAAATTAGAACAGAAGAATACTATTAGGCTGGAAGAAACTATAACAAACATCAACACTGGTTACCCTTGGGAAGAGGAATATTACATGATTTTTAAGGACATCTTTTCTTTATATTATTTTTTAACTTCCAATGTAAATTTCTGTAATTACTCTTAAAATTATAAAAATTTAAAATATATTTTAAGTTGATGCTAACAATGTTTAAGAGGATTTCTGAAGCAAAGTCTAACATTTGACTATCTACCGCATGATACAGACTGTTTAAGACTTTGGGTGAGACCTTGGAGAATAAGACACGTAAAGCCTCTGGCCTCCTGTGCCTTATGTTTCATGTGAGAGAAGAGGTAATAAATGAGTCAGTAAATGAACAAATAAGGTCATTTTAAGACAGTGCTGAAAGCTGTGAAGAAAAATAGGGTGATGGGTAAGAGAATGAAGAGGATCTCTTCTACAGGTGGTTAGGTAATACCAGGGTGATACCAAGCATCTAGAAGGGTTCAGGAATCTGGAGAAGGCACTGCATGTAAATTAATTAAGAGACTAGAAATATAATATAAATTTGTAATCCATGAGGGAGCCAGAGGAGGGCTTAGCTTCAGTAACCAAGTTCTTTGAATCTCCGGACCCCTTGCTCTTTATTAACACAAATTACCCTAAAGCAAAGCAGATATATATATATATATATATATATATATATATATATATATATATATATATATATAAAAGGTTAAGTGTTAGTATACAATAGGCATTGTCAGATTGGGGAACTGCCTTTGGCTGTTCAGGTGTTTAACATTAGATTAAAATACCCTCTGCTGTCTGGCATCAGGCAATAATATATGCAAATCTTTAGGTGAGGAAATGATTTTCAGCCACTCATAAGGGAATAATATGTATCTTCAGCCCTGCTGAAGCCTCAAGGTTTCATCAGCCTTTTTGACGAAACTTATCACATTTATGACCTGCTGGAATTAGCCTCCCACAGTCAGAGAAGGCCTGTCTAAGGTGACATATGAGCTGGGACTTGAATATGTAAAGGAGACAACTGTATAAAGATCTCTGAGTGTTCATTCGAAGCAGAAGCAACAGCAAACAAAGCTGGGCATGAAACAGGAATAAAGTTGATAGGCTTAAGGAAGAGAAAGACCAGTGTAGCTGGGATATAGGGATCCAGGGGTAAGTGGTAAGACCAGATTAGGGAAAAAGGCCAGGTCAGTTCATATGAAGTCAAACAGGCAATGGAAAGGACTTTGGATTTTATTCAAAATGAATTAGAGGATCTAAAGCAAGAAAATAATCTGTTTTGTTTGGATTAATGTTATTTCTAATTAATTTAATCCTGTTTGTCTTTTATATATAAGCAAGAGTCGTCTGCTTGGGTGGGCTCAAATGCTGGCTTCAGCATGCTAGGTCACATAGTGGTGTTACTTTCACATCACTGCTTCAGTTTCCCATCAGTAAATTGAGAATAATAATAGTATCTACTTTATAGTATTGTTATAAGGAGTAAAATAATAAATTCATAGACTAGAGCACATAGAAAGTACATATAATGTTAGTTTGATAAGTAGCTAGATAGTAGTGACTAATTTTGGGGTATGGGGTTAAGGAAATAAACATGGGAAAATTTTGCCTTTCATCCTTTTATGTAATTTGACTTTTTAAAAATTTATTTATAGCTATAAATGCTCACATTAAGAAACAAGAAAGGCTAACTGGACCTTACCCCTCACCCAACCAATCAGGTCAGCCAAAGCAGTGACATCACCACCCTTATGAAACACCTGGACTTGTGGAAGTTCGCTCTCTCGTCCGTCATGCTGTCGGCGTGAGTGGGACAGAGCCCATGCTAGCTTGGAATTCAGGCTCCCTGGTGGTCCTTGGGGATCATGTTCTGGGCACAACACTTCTTTTTTTTTTTTTTTTTTTTTTTTTATGCCTTTCTCCTTACAGTATGTTCAGAGAGAAAGTAAATTGTATATTTAACATTAAAAAAAAAAAGAGCCGAAATATATATTGGGGGGGGGGGGGGGGGGGGGACAAGAAAGGTCTCAAATAAACGACCTAATCTACAACTTAAGGAACTAGGGGGAAAAAAAAAAAAAAAAACAAAAAAAAAAAAACACTAAACTCAAAACTTGCAAAAGGAAATAAATATTTTTTTTTTTTATTGATTTTACACAGAGAGGAATTGAGAGGGATAGAGAGTTAGAAATGTCGATGAGAGAGAAACATCGACCAGCTGCCTCCTGCACACCCTCCACCGGGGATGTGCCCACAACCAAGGTATGTGGCCTTGACCGGAATTGAACCTGGGACCTTTCGGTCCACAGGCCGACGCTCTATCCGGTCTTGGCAGGAAATAAGTAATACAGATTGTAGCACAGATAAAAGAAAGAGAAAGAAAAAAAAAAACAATAGAAAATGTCAACGAAACCAAAAGTTGGTTCTTTGAAAATATAAACTTTTAGCTAGATGGTCTAAGAAAAAAGAGGGAAAACTCAAATTGCTAAAATTAGAAATGAAGTGGAGACATTATTACTGATTCTACAGAAATAAAAAGAATTATATGAGTACTAGGAACAATTGAACACCAACAAATTGGATAACTTAGATGAATTGGGGACATTGCTAGAAACACAAAATAGAAAAACTGAATAGAACTACATATACCCATGAATGAATCAGTAACCAGAAGTCTCCTAACAAGAAAAGGACTTGTTGCTTCACTGGTGAATTCTATCAAACATTTAAAAAAACTATCATCAGCCGAAACCGGTTTGGCTCAGCGGTAGAGTGTAGGTCTGTGGACTAAAAGGTCCCAGGTTTGATTCTGGTCAAGGGCATGTGCATTGGTTGTGGGCACATCCCCGGTAGGGGGTGTGCAGGAGGCAGCTGGTCGATGATTCTCTCTCATTGATGTTTCTAACTCTCTATCCTTCTCTCTTTTCCTCTCTGTTAAAAAATTAATAATATATATATATATATATATATATTTTTTTTTTTTTTAATTTTTTTTTTTTTTAAAGAACTATCATCAATCCACCTCAAACTTTTCTAAAAAAAAGTTGAAGAGGAAGGAATACTTTTTAACTCATTCTGTGAGGCCAGAATTATCAAAGACACTATAAGAAAATTACAGACCAATATCCCTTTCAAACACTGATGTGAAATCCTCAACAAAATACTAGAAAACCAAATTCAGCAGTGAATTTCAAGGATCATACAGTCCTGGCTGGGTGGCTCAGGTGGTTAGAACATTATCCCATACATCAAAAGGTTATGAGTTCAATATCTGGTCAGGTCTCATACATAGTTGCAGGTTCAATTCCCAGTCCTTTGGATGCCCATGGGAGGCAACTGATTGATATTTCTCTGATTCATTTCTCTCTCTCTTTGTCTCTCTCTCTCTCTGTCTCTCCCTCTGTCTCTCTCTCTCTCTCCCTCTGTCTCTCCCTCTGTCTCTCTCTCTCTCTCTCTCTCTCTCTCTCTCTCTCTCTCTCTCTCTCTCTCTCTGTCTCTCTCTCAAAAAGTCAGTGAACATATATCCTCGGGTGAGGATAAAAATTAATAATAATAATAAAGTGATCATAGTGATCATGCATCCTGACGAAGTGGGGGTTTATTCCTGGAATGTGAGAATGTTTCAACATAGGAAAATCGATCAGTGTAATACACCACGTTAACAGAAAGAAGGAAAAAGTAAAGGATCATCTTGATTGATGCAGAACAAGTTTTTGTCAAAATTCAGTATCCTTTCATGATAAGAATAATCAGAAAATTAGGAATAGAAGGCAACTACCTTAAAGTAGTAGTAAAACCCATATAAAAACAACACCCACAGCTTAACACGTTAAGTGCCCAGCCTGTTTTGTCTTCGGGACGAAAAGTAAAGTGTCAGGCACCAGTGACTGACAGAGCGCTTAACGTGTTAATGGTGAAAGACTGAAAACTTCCTTTAAGATCAGGAGCAAGATTAGGATCCCCACTTTTGTCACTTCTATTCATCAAAACACTGGAATTTCTGGCCAATAGCCAGATCAGTTAGTCAAGGGGGGGAAAAAAAGGCATCCAAATTGGAAAGGAAGAAGTAAAATGATCTCTCTTGATAGATTCTATGATTTGGTATAAAACACACACAAAAAAAAATAAAATAAAAAAATACACAAAACACTAAAGATTCCACACACAAAAATTATTAGCAAAGTAGTATGAAACAAAATCAACACCCAAATGTCAGTTGCATTTCTATACACTAACAATGGCCAAAGCAAAAAGAAAATTAAGGAAACCATTCTACTTACAATAACATCCAAAAGAATACTTAGTAATTAATTTAACCAGGGAGGTAAAAGACTTGTACAATGAAAACTTCTGAAATAAAGGCATAAGTAAATGGAACACATCCCATGTACATGGGTCAAAATACTAAATATTGTTAATTTGTTAATATTACCCAAGGAATCTACAAAGTCAATGCAACCCCTATCAGAGTCCCAATGACTTTGTGTTTGTTAATACTCACCTAAGGATATATATTTCCATTGATTTTTAGAGAGCGTGGAAGGGAATGGAAGGAGAGAGAAAGAAACATTGATGTGAGAGAGACATCAATTGGTTGCTTCCTACACCCACCCTGACCAGGCCAGGGATCAAATCTTCAACCCAGGTACATGCCCTGGACCTGGAATCCAACCCATGATCTCTCTAACCACTGATCCAACCCATTATCTCTCTAACCACTGATCCAACCCATGATCTCTCTAACCACTGAATCACGCTGGCCAGAGCCCAGTGACAATTTTTGCAGAAATAGAAAAACCCCTCCTAAAATTAATATGGCATCTCAAGGAACCCTTAATAGCCAAAGCAATCTTGAAAAAAAAAAAAAAAAAAAGTACAAGCTGGAGGACTCTCATTTGTTATTTCAAATTTTACTATAAAAGCTACAGTAATCAAAACAGTGATACTGAAATGATGACCAACATATAAATCAACGGAATAGAATATAGAACTCAGAAAAAGCCCTCACATTTATAACAGGATGATTTTTGACAAGGGTGCGAAGGCCATTCAATAGGAAAGGACTATCTTTTCAACAAATGGTGCTGGGGAAACTGAATATCCACCTGCAAAAGAATGAAGTTGGATCCTTAGCTAATATCATATGCAAAATTACAAAATGGATCAAAGATATAGATGTAAGATCTAAAACTATAAAACTTTTAGATGAAAACTTAGGGTAAAAACTTCATGACATTGGACTTGGCAATGATTTCTTGAGTAGGACACCAAAAGGAACAGGCAACAAAAGTAAAAATAGCCGAAACCGGTTTGGCTCAGTGGTAGAGCGTCGGTCTGCGGATTGAAAGGTCCCGGGTTCGATTCCGGTCAAGGGCATGTACCTTGGCTGTGAGCACATCCGAGGATGTGCAGGAGGCGGCTGGTCGATGTTTCTCTCTCATCGACGTTTCTGGCTCTCTGTCTATATCCCTTCCTCTCTGTAAAAAATCAATAAACTATATTAAAAAAAAAAAAAAGTAAAAATAGACAAAGGGCATATGTCTAGGTTGCAGACTTAATCCCCAACAGGGGGTATGCAGCAAGCAGCCAATCAGTGATTCTCTCTATCATTGATGTTTCTATCTCTCTCTCCCTCTCCCTTCCTCTCTGAAATCAATAAAAAATATGTTAAAAAAAAAAAAAGACAGTATCAGTAAAAAGGCAATCCACAAAATTAGAGAAAATTTACAAATTAACCTGATAAGGGATTAATGTCCAGAATCTGTAGAGAACTCCTAAAATACAACAAAAAAGCCGAACAGCTAGATTTAAAAATGGCAAAGGACTTAGATATTTCACACACACACACACACACACACACACACACACACACAAATAGCCAATAAATACATGAAAAGATGCACAGCATCACTGATCATTAGGGAAATGCAAATTAAAACCACAATTAAATACTGCCTCTTACTATAAAAAAAAAAAACACAGCAAATTTGAACCATTGTGCACTGATGGTGGGAATGTAAATTGGTACAAGCCACTGCCTAAAACAGTATGACAGTTCCTCAAAAATATAAAAATAGATTGACCTTATGATCCAGCAGTTCCACTTCTGGGTATATATCTAAAAGGATTGAGAGCAGGGGTTATTTTAGAGATATTTCACACCATGTTCAGCATAATTCACAATAGCAAAACATGGAAGCAACCCAAATGCTCATTGGCAGATGAATGGAAATGCAAAATATAATGTATTAGTAATAGAATATTATTCAACTTTAAAAAGGAAGAAAATCCGAACACATGCTACAATATGTACATAATGCTAAGTGAAATAAACCAGTCACAAAAAGACAAATTCTGGGTGATTCCATTTATATGAGAGAGTAGTCAAAAATCATAAAGACAAAGTAGAAAGGTGATGACAGGGGCTGGGAAGAAAGAGGTAAGAATGAATTATTAATGGCATAGAGTTTCTATTTTACAAAATGAAGAGTTCTAAACAGAATGATGGTGATGGTAGCACAACTTCATTAATGTATACCACGAAACAGTAAACTAAAAATGGTTAAGATGGCAAATATTATGTTTTTATAATTTTACCACAATAAAAAATGGAAAAATAAAATTGATGATTATGGTTGGAAAATATATATTTAGGCAAACATTACTTATGTAATTTAAAAAATTAAGAGGAAAAATATTCAGAGTATGATTTCTAATTTTCAGTTTAAAAAGGAAGTCACAGTCTCAGTATTTGTATGTGTGTGTTTTTAGAGGAGGACACTAAAAATATAGTGATAATTTCCTGCTTAGCCTAAAGCCTAACTTGCCATTCTTTTTCACATAGATGTATTTAGGGATTTGGGATAATCTACCAGGGGTTGTGAAATGTCAAATGGAACAAGCACTTCATCTTGATTTTGGAACTGAATTGGAACCAAGAAAAGAAATAGTGTTATTTGATAAACCAACGAGGGGAACTACTGTACAGAAATTCAAAGAAATGGTCTACAGTCTCTTTAAAGTAAGTATATCTATTCGCATGTTGCTATTGTGAATCAGTACACTCTTCTCAAAGAATTACCAGGACCTCAATTCTAAACCACAAGAATGTTGCTATTCTTTGACCTGTATTAGGACTCCAGAGAGAAATAATTCAAAGAAAAGAAAAAATGTGTGGAAGATATTTACTTTAATATTATAAGCTAAAAATGTCCAGATATGAGAGGGGAGTTCTATAGTTTGACATTGTAGCTGATACATTTTGAAAAGATTAAATAAAACCAGTGCAACCTGATTTGCAAATTATTTTTTTAATTTTAAAGAAATACTCAGAGATTAATTACAAGTATTAAAAGATGAAAACAATTACACTTTTAGAAAGAATCTTTTTTATAGTTACCACTCTTATAATTTTTCTCTGAGAGCTTACATTTCCAAGTTATTTTATCCCAAGAAACCTTTCAGGGAAATACATTTTTACCTTCATTATTAGAATAATGTAACTTAAAATAATTACATTAATGTGATAACTACAAAAAATAATTTTGTTGACCCTTCTTATAATTGGATATGAGTACATTACACTGCAATTTTGCAAGTAAATGTATGAATAAGACAAAGAATAATTACTTAGGGTCTTAGTTAACTTATTTATGCAGAGCGTAAGAGGGTTATGGGACTTAGGGTGGCCATTTCTTCATAAACTTAGCCAAGTTTTATTGCATTTTCATAAAATATAGTTCTCATTTAGCATCATAAATATTTGGATATGTTTTAAGTTCCTTATGGGGATTCAGTAGCAAAACTATTACTTAGCATGATTATCTCCATAAAGGAAGTTAGTAATTTTTTTATTTGCTAACGTCTTAATCTTTATAGGCAAAATTGGGTGACCAGGGAAACCTCTCTGAACTGGTTAATCTCATCTTGACGGTGGCTGATGGAGACAAAGACGGCCAGGTTTCCTTGGGAGAAGCAAAGTCAGCATGGGCCCTTCTTCAATTAAATGAGTTTCTTCTCATGGTGATACTTCAAGATAAGGAACATACCCCCAAATTAATGGGATTCTGTGGTGATCTCTATGTAATGGAAAGTGTTGAATATACCTCTCTTTATGGAATAAGCCTTCCATGGGTCATTGAACTTTTTATTCCGTCTGGGTTCAGAAGAAGCATGGATCAGTTGTTCACACCATCGTGGCCCAGAAAAGCTAAAATAGCCATAGGACTTCTCGAGTTTGTGGAAGACGTTTTCCACGGCCCCTATGGAAACTTCCTCATGTGCGATACTAGTGCCAAAAACCTAGGATATAATGATAAGTATGATTTGAAAATGGTGGACATGAGAAAAATTGTGCCAGAGACAAACCTGAAAGAACTTATAAAGGATCGTCACTGTGAGTCTGATTTGGACTGTGTCTATGGCACAGATTGTCGAACTAGCTGTGATCAGAGTACAATGAAGTGTACTTCAGAAGTGATACAACCGAACTTGGCAAAAGCCTGTCAGTTACTCAAAGACTACCTATTGCGTGGTGCTCCAAGTGAAATTCGTGAAGAGTTAGAAAAGCAACTTTATTCTTGTATTGCTCTCAAAGTCACAGCAAATCAAATGGAAATGGAACATTCTTTGATACTAAATAACCTAAAAACATTACTGTGGAAGAAAATTTCCTACACAAATGACTCCTAGTTCATTTGGACATTGTGACCATTGTGGAAACTTACCACTTAGGAAAAGTTTCAGCATTTTTAAAAAATGGCTTCTGATCGAAATCCCTGCCAGTACAAAGCTCATCTCCCGTTCCTAAGAAGCCATCATCTTAAAACACATGTCTATTGCTGAAGGACAGGAGGTCCCCCCAAATGTAATTCCTGCTTTCAGAAGTCCCGGTACATTTCCCAGTACATTCACTGTGTATCTATTTTGACTGACAAAATAATGCTGTGAAGCCTCATTCCAGACATCAACCAGTGAGATTGTTTTGTAGATTTGTTAGCCAAAATACCACTGCTGGAAACATTGTTTGCATTGAAGCTGCTGTTTAAAATTTATACATAAATTTACTAATGTCTTAGCATGGTCAAGTTTGCACATTAACAGAAATGAAGACTGCAAAGCAGATAAATTAAAATTACTGATTTATAAATAGATGTTAATAGTATGTTTTGTTGTATTATGACTTAAACCCATTTTAACTCAGACATCATACTTTATGTGGCTTCAGAGCCTGTTCTTTTATTCTCACCCAAAGATGTTTTTAGGGAGTGGGAGACAAACTTCAAATGTGAGAAACACGATTGGTTGCCTCCTGCACACACCCCATCCTGGACCTGGGCCTGGAAAAGCCTGCAACCTAAGTAATTGCCCCTGACCAGAATGGAACCTGGGACCCAACAGGCTGATGCTCTATCCAATGAGACCTATTGTGTTTTACTTAGCAACATGTAGTTGACATGAAAATGGATGAGCTTTCCACCTAATATTCAAATGATCCACGTCTTGGTATCAGCCTGCCAACTTAAGGCCACAGACCTCCAGATCCATTTATCTTAAATTTGTCATGAAGGCATTAACCTGTTAACCGAGCGGGACTTATAAATACATCAAACGTAAACAATATCGGGAACGGGTAGGATGTATGAATATGTCCTTGAAATATATGTTGCGCCCCAACAGGGATGGTATATATTTTTTGTAATTTTTTAAATATTTTATTGATTTTTTACAGAGGAAGGAAAGGGGATAGTTAGAAATATCGATGAGAAACATCAGCTGCCTCTTGCACCGGCAACCAAGGTACATGCCCTTGACCGGAATCAAACCCGGGACCTTCAGGTCTGAAGGCCGAGGCTCTATCCACTGAGCCAAACCGGTTTCGGCTATTTTTTGTAATCTTTAACATTGTTTGTAAAATTTATAATTTTTTAGTTCGACGTGTCCATTTTTTGTCAGTATTCTTTTCTATTTTTTTTTGTAATTTTATATTTTCCTTTGTGCTTTATATATATAAACGAATATATTTCATTTAGTATAAATTAAAAAAAATATGAAATTTTTAATTTTCAATACGGGCATGACGTATTGACACGTCCTAATGAAAGAGTACACGCCCGTTACAGGTTGTGTCATTAAAAAGGGAACTCCCTGGTTAACAGGATTCTAAAATCAGAACTTAATTTGACATTTTCAAACAAATGTCCAAAGGGCTATTTTTAGAGGCACATAAATTTATTCATCAATCATTTTCTCATATAAACTAAATATACAAAAACTTGCTCTATTTTATTCGGATCTGGCCATGTACCCTTCAACATCTCCATAAAATTACCTCTGTTAGAGAGAAGACCCAGTATTTTCTGCTCAAAGATTTAATCTGATTCAAGTATCTTAGCTATGTGACCTTCATCGGTCAGCTTCCTTTCAAAAATTAAACTCACGGATTAACACGCTTTGATTACTTAAAAATTACATACTTTGAAGGTACCTTTCTTCCTACTAATCATCTGGTTACAATGAAAGAAAATTTCCTAGTGGAAGGCTGGTATGTTGCTTGTCAGACTTGAGAACAGAAGCCCAAACAGCAGGTGTGAGAAGGTACGCAAGACATCTTTTTCTGGAAAAATCTATACTTGTTTCTTGAGGAAAAATACTGCCAATTTCAGGGTATTTCCTACAGTTTCATTAACAAGAGCTCAACACAGAAATAGCTGTTTGCTTAATATGTTTATTGTCTCTGAAAAATCATAGAAAATTGTGATTTGGTTATTAGCTCTCAGCAGCCCGTTCCTGAGCTCTGAGGAAGCTTGCTTTCTTCTGAGCTACCCGATCTTTCTTCTGGGCAAGAGACATTTTGGGACGGTTCCACCTACAAAACAAGAGAGACAGAAATGTTATCTTAAAAATACAGCTAAAGAGGACAGAGATTTGTTTTATTTGTAGTAAGATTTCCAATACAAGCACTTATTATTTTAGGCTGATTTTCCCAACCCTCAACTTGTGATACTGTCCTATTACCACACGGTGCCAAAAATCAAATAAGCAGATGTTTATTGATGTTTAGAATCATTACCAGTAACTGGTAGTTACACTGTACTAGGATAGAATGAACCACCTCAGTAGCTTCTGAGGCTAAAACATTTCTATCACCACAATTACTTTAGCAAACCTGGTTCCCTTCACTTCTGCAACATCATGCAGAGTTAGTGATCGAGTTTGCACTTTACTCAGTCCAAGTTAAGATGAAACAAGGCAAGTTTGGAACCATTCCTAACCTCTCTTTCTTGAAAAGAAAATAGTAAGATGCATACCTCTTCTTTTTAACTTCTTTCTTAGGCTTCTTTTCATAGACTGGATTCTCTCGTATAGCAGTATGAGCTTTCTTATACATCTCCTCCATCTGAAACAAAGCAAAGCAAACAGTATTTGGTTTCATTTCCTATGCCCTAAACAATAATGTAACTTACTGTAATCTATTACTTACTCTATTTTGTCTTTCTAAGCCGGATTCTCAAAAGGCACTAAACTAGGTCAGTGTCTGTATCTACTTAAACTTCTAAATGTAATCTAAATTTATTTTCCTAAGAAATCCCAATCCTCCCCCCCCCCTCTTTTTTTTACCATAGGTAATAAGCTCCTGACATTTGTGGACATTATCCAAAGAACTCAACTCAACTCGTTAATACATTTTTAGTGATTTCAGAGAGGGAGAGGAAGAGAGAAACATCAACGAGAATCATTGACCAGTTTGAATCCTGCACGCTCCACACTGAGGATCAAGCCTGAAACCTGGGCAAGACCCTGACCAGAAATTGAACAGTAACCTCCTGGGTCAGTCAAAGCTCAACCACTGTGCAATGCAGGCCCAGCTCAACTTTTTCTTGAAGAGAAATTTGCTTGTATTTCTGAGGACTTCGGGTATAGTTTTTAAGTCATTCAAAGTTTAGAGCAAAATGATTTCTGTACAAACACATTTTATACTCATTTAAAATGCTGTCTGACCTAAATTCTTCCACTGAAATGAGGATAGTTTATGGGGGACTTGACTACTGTAGTTGGCTCTGTTGGAGCATCATCTTGTACACCAAAAAAGTTCAAGAGTCAACTGTAAATGACTTGATTCTATGCAAAACCACTCATGAAAGAGCAGATATAAAATGACTGAGTACTCATTATAAAAATATAATAAAAATTACAGACCCATAAAGAATGAATTAGGTAATTAATCCAGGTCTCTAAAATTATTCAATGTGGAGAGAACATGATTACTTACATGCATTTGTGGAAACTAATGAAAAACTTTGTCACTACGTAAGACCTCAACTACCTAAATCCCCTTTGAAAGTTAATTTCTCTACCTCTTTTAGCAGTCTAATACAGTTCTCCACTGTATTTAACAAACCCATTTGATGACTTCACTTGTAATTAAAAAAAAAAAAATCTAAGCAGCCCAGTTTATTTTTTTCAAAGGATTAGACAAGCAAGAAATACAACCATTTTTGTAGACAACACCATGAATTTAGGTTAAGACCACTTCTTGTTTTAGACTTGTCAGATGTCTGCATAGGACTTCATATGCACTCATAGGAAAGAAACCTTCATAAAAAAAATTAATGAGCAAGTGCCCTAGCTGGTTTGGCTCGGTGGATAGAGCGTTGGCCTGCAGACTAAAGGTCCCAGGTTCGATTCCGGTCAAGGGCATGTACCGTAGTTGGGAGTACATCCCTAGTAGGGGGCGTGCAGGAGGCAGCTGATCGATGTTTCTTTCTCATTGATGTTTCTAACTATTCCTCTCCCTTCCTCTCTATAAAAAAAAAAAAAAATCAATAAAATATATCTAAAAAAATTTAATGAGCAAGTTGGAAAGTACATTAGACATAGTGGTCCCGGATGAAGCATGAAATCGGCATAGGAAACAGATACCTGAAAACAGACTGTTTGAAAAGTCTCAATTATTAATAAGTCATATGTAACATGACCAGAGCAAGAAATGGTTTACGGGAAAAAATTCTGCAGGTTGCCCTAGCTGGTTTGGATCAGTGAATAAGAGCATTGACTTGCAGACTGAAGGGTCCAACGTTCAATTCAGGCCAAGGGCACATGCCTAGGTTGTAGGCTTGATCCCCACTAGGGGGTGTGCAAGAGGCAACTGATCAATGATTCACTGTCATCATTAATATTTCTCTTTTCCTCTCTAAAAAAAAATTTTTAATTGAGGGTCAAGCAGTATCAGTAGAAGCAGGTCAAGGAGTGAACAAGGATGGTATCAATAATAAGGGAATATACACATGTATAGATACATGCACCTACATAGCTAATATAAAACGATCTTTTTCCTAGTTCAAAACTTAACCTAGCCCTAGCTGGAGTGCCTCAGTGGATAGAGCGTCAGCCTGCAGACTGGTCCAGTATTCGATTCTGATCAAGGGCACATGCCCAGGTTGCAGGCTCTATCCCCATTAGGGGGTGTGCAGGAAACAGGCAATCAACTATTATCTCATTACCGATGTTTCTCTCTCTTCCTCCCTCTCTGAAACCAATAAATATATATTAAAAAACCAAACTCAACCTATGTGCTTAACCAGCCCTACATTGTGTAGAAAGCACACAAAGTAATCTTTTCCCAATAAAATTAATTTTAAAAATAGCCAAAGCTATATCAAAGAAAAAAAAATCTAACAATTTCTTAATATAACCCACCTATTTACATATAAATCTGTATTTGTGATAGTTTTATAATACTCAGCATAATATTTTTATTGTTGTTAATCCTCACCTAAGGATATTTTCCCCCTTGATTTTTAGAGAGAGGGTGAAAAGAAGGGAGGGGAAGAGAGAAACATCAATTAGCTGGCTCCTGCACATACCCTGAACAGAGCTGGGAATGAACCTGCAACCCAGACACATGCCTTTGAACTGGAATTGAACTCTTGACCTTTTGGTAAGACGGGCTGACCATCTTAACCATTAGCCATGGCAGCCAGGGTCTAGTGTGATTTCTGTGTTCTATGCCTTCACTACAATTTCAAAACTGACGCTATCATAAATTACTCCAAGGCATTAATAGAGCTCTGGAGACACAACTTAAGAGTGATCAATTTTCCAACATTAAACTCACTATTGCAAACATTGTTCCCTTTAATTCAGCATCACACAGAACTAATGTTAAAATCCATACATCTCACCCTAGCCATTTTGGCTCAGTGGATACAGCATCAGCCTGGGGATTGAAGGGTCATGGGTTTAATTCCGGTTAAGGGCACATGCCCCGGTTACAGGCTCGATATGCCCACAAGGGGGTATAAGGGGGTATGCAGGAGGCAGCCGATCAGTGATTCTCATTGATATTTCTCTCTCTCTGAAATCAATAAAAAAAATCTGTACATCTCTGTGTGTGTTCCTGAGACATTCAGAAAGTCCAGATCATAGCACTTATTTTCTATGAAGAAAGCATCTTTCTTCTCCATTGTCTCAAAATGAAGTTTAGTAAATAGCATCTCCTATCAGTGGGTAGATTCCTATGAAATCTAGAAATACAGAACAGCCAGATTCAATAAAAGCCACCAAAGGCTTTAGATTAGGATACTTAAAACCTGCCATCCTTCAGCATCTAAGATTCCTAAAAACATACTGACAAGCCTAGCTCATTATACTATCTTATCCTTCAGCCTACCCGGTGTGTAACATCCCAATCTCATTTTAAGCCCAGGACAGCTTATACAATTCTGTCTGTACCTACGAACATGCCCATATTAAACTCTTAACTGTTAACCTGAAATAAAACTAAATAATTATAATGTATCCATAAAAAAAACAAGCAGTAAACCTAGTTCCATAAATGAACCATACATTCATCTTTAGTTAAAATTTTTTACCATGTCTGGGGTTACGTTGTTCTTTATATATTGAGAGAACTGTTTCTTGTAAGCATCTTCATCTTCTTCCATTAGATAACGCATATAATCTGCAACGTTCTGACCCATGATATGCTTCCGATGTACTTCCGCATTGAATTCCTTGCTTTCTGAATCGTAACCAGGGAATCGTTTGGTACTAAAATAAAGTTTTTCACATTTCAGTATATGTTGATTTAAATCCGTTCACTAGCAGGAATTAATTTTAGTAGCTGCCATCAGTCCCGTCTTGAAACAATTAATTGCATCATATGCAACCGAAGGACCAACTACTGACTGCTCAGTCAGTGGGGTATCATCATTCAGCAGCTAATTTCTCAATTTCAGATTAGAAAATCATAGCATAGTACCTTTACAAACCACTAAATGAACCAAGGCATTTCACCACCATAAAGTTAGTTCTCATCATAAAAAAGGATTTCAAAACTGCTCCCCCCCAAATCCTAGAATTTCTCAGTGGTGCCTCAGGGTACATGGGAGTGATTCATTCCCAGTCACACAGATGCCCTCTAACATAACTGCAGACACTCAAAAATCACACAAAAGCTACTGGTTTCAACCCCAGCCCTTCCACTTACTAGTTCTAAAACCGTGGATAAATCACTTATGTCTCTTCACTTGTACAATGAGTTACCAATTCTTTCCTGTCCTGCCAGGTTCCCTTTGCAGTGCCTACCATATATAGTGGGCACACAACGAGAGCTACTATTACTTTAATCTCCACAGTCCAACTAATTAGAAACAGCAAGTACTGGAGTCCAAGTGATGAGTCGTTGGATACTATTTTACCTGTGAGGGATAGATAGGCCTCCATCCACAGCTCCCTTCAGGGCCCCAAAAACTTTATTTCCAGTAGTAGTTCTGGCAAGCCCTGCATCCAAATAGCAGGTGAAGGCACCAGGTTGACCATCAATGCTCTCCACGTTGTATTCATCTCCAGTCACCTCCACCTGGCCTTCATAGATCTTGTCCATGCCAAACCTATTGAGAAGCTATTAACAAAGAAGCCAGTCTTAATACCTGTCTGAATACACTCCAACAACTTACAGTATCTCACGTCACAACTTTAATGACTTCTGACAAAAAAACTTTTCTATCCCTTAATCCTAATCTACTTTTAAATAATAAATTTTTAAATGCTACAAAAAAAAACTTTATTCGATTTTTGTTAACAACTTTATTCAATAGCTTCTTAATCTGCTACATGTCCATATTTTGATTTGTGCAGCAATCAGGATATACATAACTTTGATTTTTAAAAATTTACTCAAGAAGGCCCAGCTGGCGTGGCTCAGTGGTTGAGCATTGACCTATGAACCAGGTCAGTTTGATTCCTGGTCAGGGAACATGCCTGAGTTGCAGGCTCAGTCCCCAGTGCAAGGCATGCAGGAGGGCAGACAATCAATGATTGATTCTCTCCTCATTGATGTTTCTACCTGCTCCCTCCCTTTCTCTCTGAAATCACAAAGAATATATATATTTTTTAAAAGAATTTTTAATTATTTTTTAAAAATATATTTTATTGATTTTCTTACAGAGAGGAAGGGAGAGAGATAAAGCTAGAAACATCGATGAAACATCGACCAGCTGCCTCTTGCACACCCCCTCCTGGGGATGTGCCCGCAACCAATGTACATGCTCTTGGCCAGAATCGAACCCAGGACCCCTCAGTCCGCAGACCGACGCTCTACCGCTGAGCCAAACCGGTTTCGGCACAAAAAATATATTTTAAGTAAATAAATTAATTTACTCCAGGGAGGTAATCACATTACTTCAGTCACATATGGCTACAATTCAAAGCCAAACATTAAATGCTATCATGTAGTTTTGAGGAACAGGATCCTGCCTTGAAGACATCTTCTGTGGTGTCTGATACATTGTTAATATGCACCACTCCTTGCTAGTACCTAGCGCCTAAAAAGCAGTGCCTTTGCACCAAGTTGCTCTCATATATAAAGACAATGTTACCCACCCCCACTCAAATATGTTTATGACCAATGAAGATGTGGATCCCCAACAATGATGCATGCTTAACAGTTCCACTGGAAAACAAGGTCAGCAACTGAGAAAAAATAAGGCAAAGTCACATTTTCATCTTTTCTGCATGTTATAAGAAATGCTGCCATCCAAAGGTAAAGATGGTTAAAACAAAAACAGCAAAACACACACACACACACACACACACACACACACACACACACACACACACAGGAATGCAGCCCAAGTTTAAAACATTGCTTCTCAAAATTTAACATGCATATAAATCACTTGAACATCCTATTAAAACAAATTCTGCAGGTCTGGAGTAGTTTGCATTTTTAACGTATGCTTATGGTCAGAAGATTCCTGGTAGATCTGTCCAATAAGGTAGCCACTAAGGAACCACAAGTGGCCATTCAAATTTAAGTTAAAAATTCAGTTCATCAGTTGCACTAGAAGCATTTCAAGTGCTATACCACCACATGTGGCTGCTGGCTACCACTGGCTGCCATATCCAACAGACTGCAGGAAATTCTATTGGTTTAGATACTCAACAAACAGGAAAACTGTCCCCCCAAATTATTAGAAAATGCACTGCTGTCTCAAAGCTTATTTATAAAAGCATCTTTCCTAATGATGCTCTTAAGGGTAACACCGGGCACTCGCTTGACCCAACAGCTGAGGGCATCTCATCCATGAGGAAACATTTTTCCACTAACGCCAAGTGATAAGTCAATTCCAAGACACATCGATTATAAAGTAACCCTGTACATACCCTGCGGGCCAGCAGCAGGCCAGTACAATATGCTGCAGCATAGTTTGTCAGGCCAACCTTCACGCCATACTTTGGGAGTTCATGAGCATAAGCTGCACAAACTATCATATCTCCTTCTATACGGGCGTAAGCGATCTATAAGAGAAAAATCAGGTTAGTCGTCTGCTTTTACTATTTGTCCTAAATGCCTTTGCATTCAAAGAACTTGAAGAAAAAAACCTGGACACAGTTCTGCATCACTTAAAATCTCTGTTAAACCCAGTTACCTTCAACTAATTATGTCTTGGTCAACTGTATCAGAGAGATTCGAGTCTAAACATGTGTGACTAAAGCTAAAATCACCACATGGACATTGAATACTGAATTGCCTTGGGAATAAATTATACTCTAGTTCCTTCTAAGTGCTGAAAAGACTTAGCTAGATTAGCTGGTGAATTAGAGGCACTTTGAAAAGTAAAACGAAGTCCTAATTTCAAACATCTTTTGAACTAAGGACATTTTAAGTCCAATAATGATCCAGACACCTAGTGTTTAGGCATGGAGGGACACAGTGCCTTCACAACCACAAATTAGTGAGCCCAGAAAACAGGTGTGCTTGCCTCCCACAAAAAGGCTCCAAAAACCTCAAATAAAAAAATTTCCCCGCCCTAGCCGGTTTAGCTCAGTGGATGGAGCGTGGGCCTTCGAACTGAAGGGTCCCATGTTCCATTCGGTCGGGGCATGTGCCCAGGTTGTGGGCTCGATCCCCAGTGGGGGACTTGCAGGAGGCAACCGATCCATGATTCTCTCTCGTCATGGATGTTTCAATCTCTCTCTCTCTCCCTCTTCCTCTCTGAAATCAATAAAAAAAAAAAAAAATGCCCCCCCCCTCGCCATCAAGTTCCAGAAAGTTATCTTTTAGGGGCACACTGCCACTTTCTGGAGATCTTTTATGTGGAAGATGTCACCTGTAACAATTAAAACCTACTTCAAACAACAAGCAAGCATAAGGACAATCTTAAAGCATAATTTAACCTCCCCAACAAACACCTCTTCAAAGAGCAGTGTTAAGGCCACACAGTACCAGCAAGGACGTAAAGCGTCCATGACAAAGCCTGCCTCTCTATGGGGGCTGGGATGGGCCAGAACCTTCTACTTGGTCTCAAACTTAAGCCTTCCACACCACCCTCCCCTACAAAATGGCAATAGTAACAGAAATTCCTCTAATCCTCGTCCCCCAGTTAAAAAAGTAAGTGGGATTAAACTGGGTCAGGATTGCCAAAGGTGGCAGGTAACTTTAGCCAGTATTTTTTTCAAGTACCAACTGTCCAGGCTCCAATTTAAGACCCACAAAAAGGAAAAGAACGAACTCAATGGTTTTGGAGTGCCGGGCTCCTCACAGGATGGACAATCTCATGCATCCCGTGTTTTGATTTTTGTTCCCCAAGTACAGCTTCTCAGGCGCAGGGGGGTGGGGATGCATCTTACCTGACAGATGATATCTCTGTTGGTTACGCGAACTATCATCCTGTATTTAGGTGTGTTGTACTTATTTTTATCCTGGATCACCAAGCGTTTCCGGGCATAGTAATCAGTTTTACCCTCTGAAGAGAAGAAGAAAAAAAAAAATTTTTTTTTTTAAAGAAAGTCTATTCCGCTGCAGAGAACAGATTCCTTTAACATTGTGAACACGAACGCCTGCCCATACCTCGCCGTCTCCTGAATTTCACTTGGTATCGCTTGAAGTAGGCCTTGTTCTTGACGACTTTCACAAACCCCTTTGAGAGAGAATATCATTACATGTTTTAGCTTATGATACTTCTGACAACTGAGTTGTAACAAAGTAACATTTGAATTTCAAGTGAATCTGGGTAGCTGCCACTTTCGTCGAGTCCAGCCTCACACCATCCAGGGTCGGGAACCCCTTTTCCTGCCTCCCGTCTGTCAGGCCCGATAAGCGCCTTCTCCAAACCTCCGGACCACACCGTCCCTACACCCTCTGCCCCTTCCATCCCGCTCCCGGGAGCCCCACGAGGCAGCGGGGCCGGGCTGGGTCCGCGCGGCCGCGGCCCGCCTGCACCCGGCATCCTCCCCCGGCTCCCCAGCTCCCCCGCCCGCCGCCCGCGGGGCCCCTCGGACGAGCCGGCTGCACCCCTGCAGCCCGTCCCCTAAAACCCCCGGCCCCCATCCCCTCCATCAGCCGCCTCAGCTCCTTCTCTTCGTCCGCCCCTTGTCCCCAGAGCTGGGCGGCAGCCATTAAGGCCATGCTGGGAGCGGCTGCCCGGCCGGGACCGAGCTGCAATCTGATGCCATCCGACCCCTGAGCCGCGCCAGACCAACTCTAAGCTGGCACCAGGGCGAGGTGAGGGGACCCCCATCCATCTGCAGCCCCGAGCCCCGGATACCCACTCACCATCCTGCGGAGGAGAGCCCCACGGCCGCGGCTTGCCACAGACCTGCAGGCCGAGCCTAACTCCGGTGGGGGAAAAGGGCCCTGCCCCTTGCGCAGGCGCAGTATGTAGCGCCGGCGGTCACGCAGGCGACGTGGAGAAGAGCGGTCCTCCCGCCGGCAGGCGCGCGGCGCGCCGCCTCCTGCTGGTGGGAGGACCGAACGGGCCTTCGCCGCGCTGCAGCAAATCCTAAGGCTCCTCCTGGCTGATGATCCGACTGGAGTGGACGGTAAGCAGTGACGAAGGATTCTGTCCTAGGAAGTTGTCTCATAAACATCTATTAGCATTGTAAGCAGGAAAGAGGTTTAACAATTAAATGGAAGGAATTTTCTCTGGAGCTCTCCCCCCCGCTCCTATCCCCCACCTTCCAGGAAGGACGCTACCTCTTGGACTACCCACTCGCCCCGGTCCAGAACATAGGCTTGCCTTAGCCCTCCATGCCTGGGTTAGGACGCCCTCCCCCCAACACACACACACTTTTCCTACGGCTCCTCCGTACCTGCTTCACCCCGCCCTAGATTTGTAACCATCCAGAGGATGGGGTCCTGCTCTCCAGTTCACCTTTAAATCTCCAGCCCCTGGCTCGGTGCTGGCATTCAGTAAAAAGGTAAAGAGAACTACTGCTCTCTCCTTCCTGCCTCTTTACCTCTGTCGCCTTCCCTGACCTCTGGCCACCTCATTCCTTTCCCCTCCCTCCATCCTTGTGATCTAGTCAGATTAACTTTATTCTTTGTCTTTTTCTTAAATTTATTCTTTTTTAAAATATTTATATTTTATTGATTTCTTTTTTTTTTTTTTTTTTTTTTTTTTTTTTTTTTTTTTTTACAGAGAGGAAGGGAGAGGGATAGAGTTAGAAGCATCGATGAGAGAGAAACATCTATCAGCTGCCTCCTGCACACCCCCTTCTGGGCATGTACCCTGGTCAGGCTCATGCAGGAGGCTGTGTTTACCTCACATTTCTCTGACTTTCCCTCTCTCTTCCAACTCTGCCTAAAATCAATGGAAAAATATCCTTGGGTGAGGATTAAAAAAATAAATTGGAAAATAAATAAATAAAACATTGATTTCTATTGGAGTGGGAAATATTTCTTTTATTATTTGAAATGAAAGTAAACTCAGTTTTATCAAATATGTCACATATTTTTTTCCATTTTTTTAAATTAAGATATTATATGTATACATATATTATCATTGTGTCACACATATATTATAAATAGAAAATAAACCAGCCATTTTTAGTTCTGGTAGTGATTTTTTTTTTTTGACAGACAACTGTTTAGTTTTTATTTCATAATCATAAACGTAACTGCAATCCAGCTAGACTGGGAAGGGGTAAGGAAAGGATGGAACCCAATAAACTGGTAAAAGCACAAAGATTATGGAACATTCCAAGCAAATCGAGGTGAAGGGGTCTCTCCTGAGCTACAGAAGGAATGGTCTGGTGGTGAACATAAAACACACGTCAGATTTATTAGAGTCGCCACAGTCAGCAATGTGATCTTCCAGCTGGTCTTGCCATTCCTGGATCCAGAGCGCTCCATGGCCGTCACAATACCCATGCCTTCTGTCACCGGCCGAAGACCACGTGCTTGCCATCCAACCACTCGGTCTTGGCGGTGCAGATGAAAAACCGGGAGCCGTTTATGTTAGGCCCAGCATTTGCCATGGACAGGATGCCAGGGCCTCTATGTTTCAGGATGAAGTTCTCATCCTCTCATTCTCCCCATGGATGGACTTGCCGCCTGTGCCATTATGGCGTGTGAAGTCACCACCCTGGCACATAAATCCCAGAATAATCCTGTGAAAACAGGAACCTTTATAAAGTTCTGGTAGTGATTTAACAGCAAAATCTTAAAAGATTTCTATGACGTTATCATATATTATTATTTTGAGGTATCTGCTTATTGCCCTAGTCAACAGGTTCAGTATTGAAGCCACTGACCTTCGTAGATATTCTAATGTTTGCTCTTTACAACTACTTTTTGTTTTATATTAGTTTATGCTTATTCACGAAGGCTAGCATGTAGGGTGAACTACTCTATGGTAGGTTCCCCTTTATAGATATTAATCCATTGGAAACATTTTAAACCTGTACTTTTATCTAGGGGAAAAAAAAAAATTAGCCTTGCCCTGACTGGTTTGGCTCAGTAGATAGAGCGTCGGTCTGCAGACTGAAGGGTCCCAGGTTCGATTCCAGTCAAAGGCATGTACTTTGGTTGCGGGCACATCCTCAGTAGGCAGTGTGCAGTAGGCAGCTGATCAGTGTTTCTCTCTCGTCAATGTTTCTAACTTTCTATCCCTCTCCCTTCCACTGTGTAAAAAACAAATGAAATATATATATTTTTAAAAATTAGCCTTCAATGAAAGAATAATCTTTGTTTCTTTAAAAAAAAAAAAAAAAAAAAAAAAAAAGTGTAGCCGAGACCGGTTTGGCTCAGTGGATAGAGCGTCGGCCTGCGGACTGAAAGGTCCCAGGTTCGATTCCGGTCAAGGGCATGTACCTTGGTTGCGGGCACACCCCAAGTAGGGGGTGTGCAAGAGGCAGTTGGTCGATGTTTCTCTATCATCGACGTTTCTAACTCTCTATCCCTCTCAATTCCTCTCTGTAAAATCAATAAAATATATTTTTAAAGAAAAAAAAAGTGTAAAGCTATGGTTTTATAGGACCAAGAATCAGAAGACTATCAAGGACCACCCACATAATTATGATTGAGCATATCTGAATGTTCTGTTGATAGGCTACTGATGTCTGAATCATTAATAAAATAAAGACATTCCAATTCATTATAATATATTTATTTCATTAAAGTTTCATTTTGGCCCAGCTAGCATGGCTCAGTGGTTGAAGGTGAACTTATAAACCAGGAAGCCATGGTTTGATTCCTGGTCAGAGCATATGCCTGGGTTGTGGGCTCGATCCCCAGCAAATGGCATGCAGGAGGCAGCCGGTCAATGATTCTTTCTCATCATTGATGTCTCTATCTCTCTCTCCTTCTCCCTTCCTCTCTGAAATCAATTTAAAAAATTATATTTTTTTAAGTTTCTTTTTGTATCTTTATTTCAGCAAAACCTCTATGTTGTTATGACCAAGACATCACATCATATGTTTTTCTACAGATAGTAATGTCAAATTGGACAACCCTTTTTAGGTCATTGTGGTGCTTAACTAATATTTATTAATCTCATTTAGGAGAAATTTTGCTGTGTTGAAGCAAGAGAAACTGGAATTTTAAATAAAACTCATAAAGCAATACTTAGACTTGGGAATGGACAATAATTTTTCCATATCAAATTCAAACAATGTAATGGTGCCATTAATAACAAATTACTGTTTTCACTAAAACAATTACTAGATATTTGATATTGTCATATAAATCACTATCGCCTTTATTGCCATTTTCACTCGCTCCTATGTAATATCATATCATGCAGGTTTTGTTATTCTTCCAATATTTAAATGCTCAGTATGTACAGGAAACAAAAATAGCAATATGATGCTCAATTTGTTCAAATGTCTTTTCAATCAGACTATGCACTATCAGGGTCAGAAAACAATGTTTATGGAAATTAGTTTTAGGTTTATTGATTTGCTTATTTAAATTAAATTTACTGAGATAACATTGGTTATTTATGGTTACTTGGTTATATGTTACAGGTTGACAGTTTTATAAGACATCATCTGTATATTATATTATATGCTCACCACTCAAAGTGTCTATGCAGTCTAGTTTCAATCTTTTGCATGTGACTTTCCAATTTTCTCTCCACCATCTATTTTTTATTTATTTATTTATTTATTTATTTGTTTGTTTATTTATTTATTTTTAGAGAGAGATTTGTTGTTCCACTCAGCCATGTACTCCCTGGTTACCTCCACACGTGTCCCTAACCTTAGAGGGAAAAGCTTTCAGTTTTTCACCATTGAGTATGATATTAGCTGAGGGTTTGTCATATATGGCCTTTATTACGTTGAGGTACTTTTCTTCTGCCCTCCCCTGCCAGCCTGGTTGCCCCTAAATAATACCTATCCTTTACAGGCCTGGTCCTCCCTTATAAGCCTGATCCCCCCCAATTGCCCTCCTCCCCTACAGGCTTGGTCCCTCGCAATTGCCCTCCCCTGCAGGCCTGAGTTCTCCTCAACTTTCCTCCCCTGCTGGTTCAATCACCCCCAACTGCCCTCCCCTGGAGGCCAGATTGCCCCAACTGCCCTCTCTTGCAGGCCTGGTCCTCCCAACTGCCCTCCACTGCTGGCCAGATTGCCCACAACTGCCCTCCCTTGCCAGCCATTTTGTGGTAACCATCTTGTGTCCACATGGGGGCAGCCATCTTGTATGTTGGAGTGATGGTCAATTTGCATATCATTTTTTTATTAGATAGGATTTTTGCATCTATGTTTATCAGATATATTGACCTATAATTTTCTTTTCGTGTTGTCTTTGCCTTGTTTTGGTATCAGAATAATGTTGGCCTCATAAAATGAGTTAGGAAGTATTCCTTTTCTTCAAAATTTTTGGAAGAGTTTTGAGAAGGATAGGTATTTTTTTTTAAATATATTTTATTGATTTTATACAGAGAGGAAGGGAGAGAGATAGAGAGCTAGAAACATCGATGAGAGAGAGAGTCATCGACCAGCTGCCTCTTGCACACCCTCTACTGGGGATATGCCCGCAACCAAGGTACATGCCCTTGACCGGAATCGAACCCGGGACCTTTCAGTCCCCAAGCCGATGCTCTATCCATTGAGCCAAACCGGTCTCAGCAAGGATAGGTATTAAATCTTTTTTTTATAATAGTATATGTGCTGTCGAAACGAGCACTTAAATCTTCTTTTAATGTTTGGTAGAATTCAACAGTGAGGCCATCTATTATAGTTTTTTAAGATGAAATGTTAAGCTGTTTGAGATTTTTCTTCTTTCTTTTCTTTCTTTCTTTCTTTTTTTTTTTTTTTAGAAGGAAGAGTGAGATG